CGCTTCCAGGTTTCCCAGAGCTTCTGGTCAAAATGCAGGCAAGCATGCGGATATACACAAAGGAGGAAAAGAAGAGGATTAAAAAAACAATGGCGCAACTGGAGGAGAAGGTATCGCGGTTGAAAAGAGAGTTCATGAACGGGGATGGTGACTCCGACTGCTACGAGCAGCTAACCAAGTACGGCTCGATGCTGAAAGCCTACCAAGAGGAGCAGAGGGAGCGGCTCCAGACCATGGCGGGGGTGCAGACTGAAGTCCTCGGGGAGCTACCGTCTCCAGTGCTGTCGAGCCGGATTACCTCAAAAAAGTCCCAGACGACAATAGAGGAAGTCAGCCTCAATGGTGCTCGCTACACAGGAGAAAGGGAGATACTTACCGCGGCCTCGGAATACTTCACGATGGCGTTTGCTGCTCGTGACGCCGAGGGGGGAGCTGTCTGGCCGATTGACCCGGCTAAGGTACTCACTGCAGCGGACAGCGAAATGCTGAAGGCCAGCTGGACGGAGGAGGAGGTGAAGTTAGCGATAAAGCAGCTGCCGTGTGGCAAGGCGCCTGGTTTGGACGGGCTTCCGAAGGAGTTCCTGGAGGTGAACTGGGATCTGCTTGGGCCATGTTTCATGGCTTTCGTTAAGAACTTCGAGGAAGAAGCGGTACTCACGGAGCAGTTCACAACGGCGGTGACAATACTTCTGCACAAAAAGGGGGACAAGGCGCTGTTAGAAAACTACCGACCTATCACGTTGTTAAGCGCGACATACAAAATAGTGGCTAAGGTGCTGGCGAACCGGATCAAGAAGGTGCTGTCATCGGTGATTTCGGAGCACCAATACGGCTTCTTACCGGGACGAAAACTTGCAGACGCAGTTAACGTCGTGGCGGATGTCATTGATGCAGCGGCAGTAGGAAGGGAGGACTGGTATCTGCTTTTGGTCGACTTTCAAAAAGCCTACGACTCGATCTCTCGAAGTTACCTGTTCCAGACGCTTGTGCGGATGGGTTTCCCTGAAGAGTTCGTGCAGTGGACGAAGGGCTTGCACGTCCGTTCTGGAACGCAGCTGCTGATCAATGGCTGGTTGGGGGGAAGAGTGGAGATGGAAAGAGGGGTCAGGCAGGGGTGCCCGCTTGCACCATATCTGTTCATCTGCGCAGCGGAACCACTGAGCCAAGAAATCAGACGGAGGAAGCTGGGGGTATGGAAAAGAGGGATTGGTGACGTCGCATACCTGGGCTACGCGGACGATACATCAATCGTGCTGAACCGCAAGGAGCAGATCGATAAGGCTTGTAAGCTGCTGGACGACTTCGGAGAGATTTCGGGGCTGAAGGTGAACCGGGAAAAAACGGTAGTGGTGCCGCTGGGCAAAAACAGAGGCTTACCTCCGCCACCCGACACACCGTACACTTGGGCTGGGAAGGATGAGCCACAGCGACTTCTTGGGGTCTGGCTGACTTCAGGCGGAAATCCAGAGCCATCTTGGGAGAAGGCAGCGGACAGAGCGGGAGAAGTGTTGGTGAAGTGGCAGAATCAGCACGTAAAGACCTCGGCGAGGGTGTCGGTGCTGAACTCGTATGCCACCCCTATCCTCCTCTTTCAGGCGCAAATCTACCCGCCGCCGAAAGGGACGTGGAAGGAGTTCCGGGCCACTAGCCACAACTTCATGTCCAGCGGCAAAGCCTCGGCAGATAAACACTTCGTCCTGTGGAGTGGAGAGTTAGCATACATGGACAGGAAAGAAGGAGGTTTGGGGGTGATCAATCCAACGATGCGGGTGGAGTGTATGGCGCTAAAAAATCTGGGTGAAGCAGTACAGCAAAGAGACCCGATGAAGCGGTGGCTGATGGAGAAAGCGGCAGGAATGCCTTTCGGATGGGCGACGCTACTTGCTCACCGATCAATTCTGCGGATATGGAACAAGGGAGGGGAAAAATGGAGGAGATCGGTGATAACCTTTTGGCAAACCCTGCAGCAGAAACTCCCCGGCCCAGCAAACCGGTGGGATTACGCGGCAGAGAGAATCTGCTTCAGCAGATACATTTTTTACCGAGGGAAAAGTCCCTTCGGGAGGCAGAAGGGATCCGACTGCCTGCTGGAGCTGCGCGTGGGGGACCTGATTCAATCGGACTGGGATGGCACGAGGAGAGTGAAGGATGTGTGGACTTTAACAAAAGAAATAGGCAGCTCGACGACGGCGCGGTGGGCGCTTAAAGCATGGAAAGCGGTCCCCAGTGAATGGAAAGAGGCCCTCCTAACAAAGCTGACGGGGGAGGAGATGCTGAGGCTAACACGCTTTGCCAGCACACGATCTCTGGCGGGGAGACCTTTGTACTGGCAACTGGTGGCAGCCGATGGCAGCGGAGTCCAGTGCAAACCAGCGGAGGTGGGGAAGAAAGGAGAGTTGCTTCTGTCGAACAGAGCAAACCACACCCGAATCGAGACGCACAGGCTAACACCGCTACTGACGGAGGAGAACCAGCTGTTGGGCGAGGCGGGTTTTGCGCTAACAAGATTGAGGATGTCGGCGCTGTGTGAGAAAGGGAAAGGTGCAACGCTGAAAAAGCTGAGAGCGGCGTTGAAGGGGCCGGTGGAGCAGCCGAAGCAGCAGAAGAAGTGGGAGCAAGAATACGGAAAACCCATTGACTGGAAAGGGGCTATCCGGAAGAGAGACACCCTGGTCACCCCGGGCAGCGCGAGAGAGATCATTCTAAGACTCCATAGCAAGAACCTACAGGTGGGGGAGAGATTGAAGTTTATGAAAGACCGCATCAACTGCCCGCACTGTGCTGAGGACGAAACCCTAGCTCACTGTTTACTGGAGTGCGGCAGCGTACAGCCTGTCATCGGCGCGGTTAAGGGGGCGCTGAAGCAGATAAACCCAAAAAGGGATGTGGAGAAACTCGATGACTTTCTGTTTGGGGCGGACTGCACGAAGTCGGGCTTTCCAGAAAAGCCACTGGTTGCAATCGCCTTTCATCAGATTTGGCTGGAACGTTGCGAAGCAGCTTTTCGTCAGGGACGCTTCCAGCCACAGCGAGTACTCCGGAAAATCGGGTTGAACTTCATGAAGCACGTAAGGATCTACAGTGCCTACAAAAAGCAGGTGGCAGGTGGTGATGGGCGGAGCGGGGCACGGAGCTGGCCCCACCTGGCACAGGACGAGGCTGAATCTTTGAGCAGGATCTTCGAAGAGGAGAACACGCTGACGTGGAGGGAGGGGTTCAGGTCCGTGTGGGCAAACCCGCGAACTGCCTTTCAGCCACCCTAGAAGGTTCTGGAAGGGCCGTGTAGACTCCCTTGTCTTCCTGGTCCCTTCCCCCTCACAGTTACGACTGTGGATGTAACCACTTTATAGTGCATTGCATCCTTCAAAAAAAAAAAAAAAAAAAAAAAAAAAAAAAACAAGTCGGACACAAGTCAATTCTTCTGGCAAGATTATGGTTGCAATGGAATCAGGACCGTTGGATTCTCAAACAAACTGCGGCATCGACGAGCCGTACGAGTGCACCCTGAAAATTAACGGCTCGCCTGACGAAAGCGCGTTTCCGAGCGACGGAAAGTACGACTCCGATTCGTCGTGGAATGCGGACTCCGAATCGTCATGGGTTCACGACGTATTGTCGCCGCGGAGCTTGAAGGGGCGGCATTCCTCGTGCGTGCCGCATCACTGCAGCTGCTTGCGAGTCGCAGCGGCTGTCGCGCTCATCGTGCTCCTCACCGTTCCGCTCAACATGGACCACTTCAGGGTGAGAATGAGATTTTATCGGTGCTAAGAAAAATTCGCAGGCTGCAGCCGTTTCTGCAGCTTATTGTACCGTACAACGTGCTTTTGAGAATTCTCAAAATACAACGTGCTTTTTCGCGCGCGTCGTGCTCCTCACCGTTCCGCTGGACCGCTTCAGGGTGAGAAATTCTCGCCTGAGTGCACGAAGCGCGTTCAGACGTCGTCGTTTCCGCAGCTCACCGCCGTGTATGCCGCTTTTGTTTGCTCGTCGTCCTTACGGCCTCACTTATCCGATGAGTCTTTATGCACTTCTGGTTGAAATGTAACCCTTTCGGGTAAGGATGAAGCACTCTAGATGGCAATTCCGATTACGGAAAGCACTTTCGGGTGAAACTGAAGCGTTTTTGGGTGGAGCACTTATGAAGCTCATGAAAAGTGTATTTTATTCCTCTCCTTTCCCCCCCGCAGACAACATCGCCAGAGGCCCTGGGTCTTCTCTCCTCACCAACAGCTAGACTAGAGCTGCTTCTAAAACGTTATGTTTTTTCCTCTCTCCTCTCCACTCTGACCTGTCCACCAGACATCATGTAACACCTCGCTACCCACTGGGTCAAAACGAGGGTTGTATTTGAGGCGCAGCGGATGCTCTCATACCCTTACGTGTAAGCCCCACAGGCGTTACACTCGTCCCCCCCTGGAGCCAACGTCCTCGTTGGGCAGGGACCTGAATCTCGCTCTACAGCGACTTCGCTGGTGGGCCAGGCCAGCGGCGGATCGTTCACTGGGTTCGCGACTGGCACATTCAAATGTGACCCAGCCGGGAATCGAACCCCAGGCTCTGATACCAAATGTAACACCTCGCTACCCACTGGGTCAAAACGAGGGTTGTATTTGAGGCGCAGCGGATGCTCTCATACCCTAACGTGTAAGCCCCACAGGCGTTACACAACAACACCAGAGTCTCTGGGTGTCACCATTTTTTTGTTCTTGTTTTTTAATTTATTGATTCCGGAATATAACGTTTTCCTCTCTACTACCCTCCTTCCGCTCCCCGCGTCCACCAGACATCATCACCAGAGTCTCTGGGTGTTCTCTCCTCACCAGCGGCTAGAGCTGCCCTCATCGCGTCTCTCACATCCGCCTCCTCCGCTTCTTCCTCCACCTCCACTTCCTCATCGCCCTCATCCTTCTCCTCTCTCTTCTCCACTTCACTCCAATCTCACCCCTCCGCTTCCGCCTCCAAATCTCCCCAATTCCCCTCGTGGTCCACGCTTCGCAAGCATGCGAGTCAGTTGCTGTCTCTGGATGATTCCACGCAACAACTGGTGAGTACCGCTGCTCCATTGTAATGAGTCGAGTTTTGAGTCGACTCAAAACTCAACTGGTGAGTAAAGAGCCACCACTGCTCCATTGTGTATTTTATGTTTCCTTCCACTTCACATCATTCCCCCATCCCTCTCGTGGGCCTCGCTTCACAACCGCGCCATGTAGCTGCTCTCTCGGGCTGGTTCCAGTCAACAAGTGGAGAGAGTAGGGAGCTGGTGCTGCTGCAATAACCAAGTTACCGCCGCTGCATTGTGCCGTACGTTACGTCTTCATCTCCCTCATAGCCCTCCTGCTCCTTCACTGCAGTGCAGTCTGCCTCACATTGTGCTACTCTCCTTGCTCCCTCCCTCCCTCCCTCCCTCTTCCCTCACTCAGCAGCAACAAGCCTCCGAGCCATCTACAATCCAAGCGCCCACCCCCTACACCGGCCGCACTGCCGTCTGCCTCACTGGTTCGGCGCGCGACTTCGAGCTCACCGGACCTAGCATCGTGGCTCGGCTGCTGCCGAGCCTGCGTCCGTACCGGCCGGTCCTGTTCGTCGTAGCTCCCCTGGACGAGCTCAGCCACAAGCTGTGGGCTCTGCAATGGGGGCTGGGGAAGGGGAGAGATGGGGGGTCTGGGGGATTTGGGGGACAGGGCGGATCAGGAGAACAGGGAGATGGACTAGCGGGAGGGTTAGGGCGGAACCTAAAAGAGGGGGTCGATGCGGAGAGTGCGTGGGAAGGGGAGGTGGAGTTGGGTGCGGTGGTGATGGGTGGGAGCGTGTGGGTGGACGGTGATGAGGTGGTGGGAGACAGCAAGCTCTACAACAACGCAACAGCTCGGAGCATGCAGGTGCGTTTATTTTCAATCTCTAGTCTCGGTTGTGAGCTTTCATGGTCCCCGCCGCCCTTTCGCCCCCTCATCCACTCTTGAGGCGCCTCGAAGGACCACTTTTGAGACGGCAAAAAAACAGCAACGTAACAGCTCGAAGTGCGCAGGTTCGCTTTATTTTCTAATCTCTAATCTCTGTTGTGAGCTTTTATGGTCTTCGCCGCCCTTCCACCCCCTCATCCACTCCCTCCCTCCCTCTGCAGCCGCAGCTGCAGTACCTACGGCTTCTCTCGTCGTGCCTCTCCCTAATCGACAACTACCAACGCCACAATCCCTCCTCTTCGCCCATCCACCACATCATCTACTCCCTCCCTCCCTTCTTGCCCCCTCTCCCCTGTTCTTCTGTGCAGCCTCGGCTGCAGTACTTGCGTCTCTCTCTTCATGTCTCTCCCTGATCGACAGCTATCAGCGCCACCATCCCTCCTCTCCGCCCTTCCACCGCCTCATCCACTCCCGCCCTCCCTTCTTTCCCCCCGTTCCCCACTCCCCTTGTGCAGCCTCAGCTGCACTACCTACAGCTTCTCTCATCCTGCCTCTCCCTTATCGACAACTACCAGTGCCACCGCCCCTCCTCGCCACCCTTCCACCGTCTCATCCACTCCCGCCTCGACTCCTGCTGGTCCGCCCCGCCCTCCTTCTCCTCCGCCTTCCCCCCTTCCCTTCCATTCCCACACTCACCTTTCCCTTTCCCCCTCCCCCTTCTCCCCCCCTCTTCCCCCATCCCTGTCCCCGTCCCCCTTCCCCTCCTCCGCAGCCACAGCTACAGTACTTGCGTCTCCTCGCTTTGTGTCTCTCCCTGATCGACAACTATCAGCACCACCACCCCTCCTCACCTCCTTTCCACCGTCTCATCCACTCCCGCCTCGACTCCTACTGGTCCGCCTCTCCTTCCCTCTCCTCCGCCTTCCCCCCTTCGCTTCCTAACACCACCGCAAACTCTCTACCTGCTGGTGCTGCTGGTGCTGGTGCTGGTGATGCCACTGCCGCAAGCGAGGGGGCAGCGGAGCGAGGGGAGTCTGCAGCAGTGGTAGCAAAGGGAGCGAAAGAGGAAACAATCTCAACAAAAAATACAAGTGTAGATGCAGAGAGTCAGCAGCAGGAGCAGGAGAAGGAGAAGGAGGAGGAGTGGGTGGTGCCGTTTGGGTCGGACTACAGGGGATTCAACGATGCCTTTGGAGTGGGATCTCTGGAAGCTGCCCGAAAGGTTCTCTCGCGGCTCTCCTCCATTCAAGAACTCGTGAAAGCAGGCCTCAGGTGCGTGGGGGTGGGGTGGCTGACAAGTGAGGGGGTGACTTCTTGCACACAAAAGGGCTCAATCCAGACTTCTTGCTAGTCCCTTCTTCTTCCCTTGTCTCCTCCCTTCCCTTCAACCTCCCTCTTCTCTCCACCCCCACAGCAACCTCTTCCCAGAGGCAACCCTCCAGGCCCATACGGAATCCACAGTTTTCCCTCTTCCCATCTCCTCTTCCCCCTTCTCACACTTTCTCCCCCATATCCCCCTTTCCTCCCCATTCTCAAACTCCCTCTTCTCACCACCCCCACAGCAACCTCTCCCCAGCGGCAACCCTCAAGGCGCATACAGAATCCACAGGCGTCCACGTGGCACGAGCTGATTGGCCGCTGTGCACCGTGAGCCACCAGACGTACAAGCATGGGTGGCAGGGGGAGGCTTCTTTCTTTGCATCTCCTCTCCTCCCCCCCTCATGATCTGTCCCCCACACACCCAAACCTCCTTCTCAACCCTTATCCTGCCCCTCCTCCCCTCCCTCCGTCCCTTTCTCCGTCCTCTCCCTCCACCCCCACAGCAACCTCTCCCCAGAGGCAACCCTTAAGGCCCATGCGGAATCCACTGGCGTCCACGTGGCGCGAGCTGATTGGCCGCTGTGCACCGTGAGCCACCAGACGTTCAAGCACGGGCGGCAGGGGGAGGTGCTGGTGGCCTCGTTACAGTCACGCGCGAACCTGAACGGGGCGAAATGCTGGCCATGCACGCCTAAATACACCGGCCTAGAGGTGAGTTTAACGCTACTGACTAAACCACATATAGCTGGTGGCCTCATTACAGTCACGCGCCAACCTGAACGGAGCGAAATGCTGGCCCTGCACGCCCAAATACACCGGCCTAGACGTAAGTCTATCATTACCAAACCACACATAGCTGGTGGCTTCGTTACAGTCACGAGCGAACCTGAATGGCGCCAAGTGTTGGCCCTGCAACCCAAATACACTGGCCTGGAGAATACAATGACTTGCTCCTCTCTCTGCTTGCCCATGCTTGCTCCTCCTGCAGGCCCTCTCCCACATGGCCTTTGTGCCGGTCTCCAACCAGATCCGCTCCCCCTCAGCTGATCCTGTCAACGCTGGCACCGAGAGCATAGAGCATTGACACTGACTCACATCCACCATGCTTGCTGCTCCGTCCCTCCCCGCCCCCTCAACAGGCCCTCTCCCACATGGCCTTCGTGCCGGTCTCCAACCAGATCCGCTCCCCCTCAGCTGATCCTGTCAACGCTGGCAGCAACAGCATACAGCTCTGCGACACCTCCCACCCGTGGGAGCTTGCCTGGACCGATAACTACGATGCTGCTGCTGGCTCGCGATTGGCCGGGATGAGAAGGGCTATCTCGTCCACCAATCTGAAGCAATGCGTGTAGCTGATGGGGCAGGTGAGGGGTGGTTGGGGAGGGACGGTTGGGAAGGGGCAGTTGGCGTGTGTTGGAGAATGAGAAGGGCTATCTCGTCCACCAATCTGAAGCAATGCGTGCAGCTGATGGCACAGGTGAGGGATTCTTAATCGACTAAAACAAGGGTGATTGGGGAAGCGAGGTTGGTGTGGGGTGATTCTGGTATGTGGTGAAGTGACTGGGTGGGTCAATTGTATGTGGGACTGAACTTCTGGCATAATTCTCAACGAGCAGCACGTCAGGTCTGGGCTAAAAGGAATAGAAAAACCTGTGGTTGATGCCCACATCAGGTCTGGGTGAGTCTCTTCTACCGCCTGTGGTAGATGGACAGGGTGGCTTGATTGTGTGTGAGGTTGTTCTTGAGAATTCTCAAAATCTGACTCAAATGTATTTCACAGGTCTCTTGGTTCCAACTGCCCTCTCTTCTTTCGATCCTCTCACCCTCTGCCACTCCATTCTCCCCTCTACCTGCTCCCTTCTCCCTTCTCCATTCTCCCTCGCTCTCGCTCCACGCCCCCGCTCCTTTCTCCCCTCATCCTCTTGCCCCTTCCTTCCCCCCGCTGTCAGCTCCAGCGTCAATCAGCCAACTGGAGCGCCCCTCCCCTGCTGCTATCTGTGTGCGATCGCTCCTCGGCAAGATATCCATTGTTTGCTCTTCGTGGGTTAGGCTTTCAAACCTCTCATCCCCTTGCCCTTCTACCTTCCCACTCCCTCCCTCCCCGAACCAGCTCCAGCACCAGACACTCAACTGGAGCGCCCCTCCCCCTTCCGCCATCTGTGTGCGATCACTACTTGGCACGACAAGGCTGCGTTTCCCAACCTCCTCCGCTTCTTCCTTCCTTTTTCTTCCTTCTCCTCCCTCCCCTCCCTTCTTCCATCCTTCAGCTCCAGCACCAGACACTCAACTGGAGCGCCCCTCCCCCTTTCGCCATCTGTGTGCGATCACTACTTGGCACGAGAAGGCTGCGTTTCCCAACCTCCTCCCCTTCTTCCTTCCTCTTTCTTCCTTCTCCTCCCTCCCCTCCCTTCTTCCATCATTCAGCTTCAGCACCAGACACCCAATTGGAGCGCCCCTCCCCCTTCCGCCATCTCTGTGCGATCACTCCTTCGGAAAATCTCCCTTGTTGGCTCCTATAGCATGTCCTTCCCCACATCTACCTCCCTTTCCCTTCTCCTCCCTACCCCAACCAGCTTCAGCAGCAAACTAGCAACTGGAGCGCCCCTCCTTCTGCGGCCATCTGTGTGCGATCGCTCTTGGGAAAAATCTCCTACGTTGGCTCCTATGGAATGTCCTTCCCCACGGCCCTCGCTGTTATCACTCCTAACAGGTGAATTGAACCACCATTTAATATAGTCACATTCCGTGTAGCCCATTTGAACTCGGAAAAAATCTCCTACGTTGGCTCCTACGGAATGTCCTTCCCCACGGCCCTCGCTGTTATCACTCCTAACAGGTAGTTCTGACCACCCTTTGATAAAGCCACCTTTTTGTATAGCCCTTTTGAACTCGGCAAGATGTCACCATTGTATGGCTCCCACACAATGTCCTGCCCCGCCAACCTCGCTGTTCTTACTCCCAGTAGGTATACCGAACCTCCTGATATTGTCACGTTTCGTGTAGCCCTGTTCAAGGTCCTCTTAATCCATTTCTAATGCTCGCTGACTTGCTGGCTGTATGTACATTATTCAGCTTGATTTTTCAGCTAGAACTTTCATTCAACTCGAGTTTTCCCCACAATTCCCCACCCCATCTCTCCACTCCGCACCCCTCTGTCCATATCTCTGCAGCGTGACCTTTCCACGTCCCCCATGACCCAACCCCCCTTCGTGCGGGGTGGTGGTGGGAGTCGACTCAAAAGTATTCCTCATTTCTGCATATCCCTCATTCCATCTCCCCACCCCACACACCCTCTGTCGATATCTCTCCAGCGTGGCCCTTTCCACCTCCCCCAGGACGCCCCTCCCCTGGACTGCGGGGTGGTGGGAGTCACACCTCCCCTCGCTCCTGCCAGGCCTCTCGGTGCATGCGCTGCCGTCAACCCCCTTCGACTCCACCACTGCCACTCCTGCTCACGTCATCAAGGTGAGTTGTGAGTCAACTCATACAACCCACGTGTGGGTGGTTCATGCCATGTACCCAGTCTGGTTACCCATGCCCCTCATGTGCAACAGTGCAAGTCATCCACTTCAATATTCCCAAACGGTTTTCTAAAAACTCATGCACCCAATCCCCCCCCTCGTCCCGCTCTTTCTTCCCTCCTTTTGCAACCGTTTTCTCCACCCGACCTTGCCTTTTTGAAACGAATCAGTTTTCATTGGACGGCTCTGACCTCCCAGCACTCTCCAAGCAACTGAAGGACAAATCTTTGCCACCCGCATGCCAGTTACTCGTGGCATTTCCCAAGCCACTCACCCAGAAATGGCATGCAAAGATTATTGGGCAGCTTGAGAGTATGAATATTTTCTTGGCGGCGTGTTTGAGAGAGCCTGGGATAGATGTAGAGCGGTGCCTATTCTTTTCGGTAAATCATTGCACAACATTATTGCATGTGGAAGTGTAGCAGTTCAATGTAATTGCTTGTCTTGAAGTTGTGTTGTATTGTCTAATTTGTTACTGAACGTGCGGTATCCCATGACCACATGAAGATTAGTACACTACCTTATGCTGTAAATTGCAATATATGTCAACTTCAATATATGTACATGCTGCACTCAATGAGCATTGAGCATCTTTCGTATTTCCCAAACGGTATGCATACAATACCACCATAAAAGGGATTGATTGTCACAGTGGCCTTAAACGGATCATATTATAGTTGTCACACCTTATTTTTCTACTTCAACGGTTGACTTCCATCGCTTTCCACCTCACTAAACACAGCACAACGTCCTCCATCTGAACCGTAGCATCCAATAAAAACAATACGGGAGCAGTAACTTACCCAAAACACAGTCCACAATCAATGCGCACAATTATTACCATCGTCATCATCATCATGCCAACGTGGGTTAAGCGGCCGCATGTCATCCTCATCCTCTTCCTCATCAAACACATCACACTTCTAACCTTCCATGGCACCTTAAGTACGGTACTACCAGCGTGCCCTACTATCAATGCATGCTGTTACCATCATGCTCATCATTGTCATGCCTGCGCGGGTTGCGCGGCCGCGTGTCATCATCCTCCTCCTTCCTCCTCATCAAACACACCATACTCCTCTTCCTCCTCATCCCCCACTCTATCTAGTACACTCAACAATCAATGCGCGCGGTTACCATCATGGTCATCATCGTCGTCATCATCATGCCTGCGCGGGTTAAGCGGCCGCGTGTCATCATCATCCTCCTCCTCTTCCCCCTCATCAAACACATCATACTCCTCTTCCTCCTCCTCATCCCCCATATCATCCTCATCCTCATCATCATCTTCCGATTTCAAAGGGCCGGCACGGGCAGGGCCGGCGATAACGAAGCTCTTCATGGTTTCGAGGGAGTAGAGGCGGGGGGTGGGAGCGCCCTGCTCCACCCACGCCTCGTATTTGGACTTCTGTGCTTGCCCGTAGTACAGCACTGCAAACACCACCGTCAGTATCGACATCACCGCTCCCACTGCATTGTTGTGGGGGGTGGGGAGGGAGGGAAAAGGGGGGGGGGCAAGGGGGAGAGTGGAGGAGAAGGAGGTCAGCTTCGCAACTCTCACTGTCAGCATCAGAAAAAGTGCTCCCACTGCCAGCCAGGGGAGGGAGGGGGATGATGAATCACGAAGCTCTTCATGGTTTCGAGGGAGTAGAGGCGGGGGGTGGGAGCGCCCTGCTCCACCCACGCCTCGTACTTGGACTTCTGCGCTTGCCCGTAGTACAGCACTGCAAACACCACCGTCAGTATCGACATCACCGCTCCCACTGCATTGTTGTGGGGGGTGGGGAGGGAGGGAAAAGGGGGGGGGGGCAAGGGGGAGAGTGGAGGAGGAGGTCAGCTTCGCAACTCTCACTGTCAGCATCAGAAAAAGTGCTCCCACTGCCAGCCAGGGGAGGGAGGGGGATGATGAATCACGAAGCTCTTCATGGTTTCGAGGGAGTAGAGGCGGGGGGTGGGAGCGCCCTGCTCCACCCACGCCTCGTACTTGGACTTCTGTGCTTGCCCGTAGTACAGCACTGCGAACACCACCGTCAGTATCGACATCAACACTCCCACTGCATTGTTGTGGGGGGTGGGGAGGGGTAGGGTGGAGGAGAGGTGGGGGGGTGGGGGGTGTTGGGTGGGAGAGGGGGGTACATGGAGCGGACTTCTGTGCTTGCCCGTAGTACAGCACTGCAAACACCACCGTCAGTATCGACATCACTGCCCCCACAGCTGGTAGTTGGTGAGGGGCGAGACACTTGAGAAAGGCAGGCAACACTCAGAACACTCAACAGATGGAATGCACCTATATAGGTGGTGGTCTTGAGCTGGTAGCGCGTGCACAGCTGGTAGTCGTACTGTAGAGAGGGTGTTTTTAAGACGTCTCAAAAACACCCTCTCTACACACAGCACACTCAACAGATGGAACGTACCTATATAGGTGGTGGTCTTGAGCTGGTAGCACGTGCGCAGCTGGTAGTCGTACTGTAGAGAGGGTTAAGACGTCTCAAAAACACCCTCTCTACACACAGCACACTCAACAGATGGAACGTACCTATATAGGTGGTGGTCTTGAGCTGGTAGCACGTGCGCAGCTGGTAGTCGTACTGTAGAGAGGGTTAAGACGTCTCAAAAACACCCTCTCTACACACAGCACACTCAACAGATGGAACGTACCTATATAGGTGGTGGTCTTGAGCTGGTAGCACGTGCGCAGCTGGTAGTCGTACTGATAGTTGGTCACCGACTTGTGGTAGTTGTTGAGAGATCCGCCCGACATGAGGCACACCTCTGCTAGGAAGAATGCCACCCTGCAGGGTTGGGGGGAAGAGGGCCAGGTTACAGAATGAAGGAGAGGGTTGGGGGTCACCGACTTGTGGTAATTGTTGAGAGATCCGCCCGACATGAGGCACACCTCTGCTAGGAAGAATGCCACCCTGCAGGGTTGGGGGGAAGAGGGCCAGGTTACAGAATGAAGGAGAGGGTTGGGGGTCACCGACTTGTGGTAGTTGTTGAGAGATCCGCCCGACATGAGGCACACCTCTGCTAGGAAGAATGCCACCCTGCAGGGTTGGGGGGAAGAGGGCCAGGTTACAGAATGAAGGAGAGGGTTGGGGGTCACCGACTTGTGGTAGTTGTTGAGAGATCCGCCTGACATGAGGCACACCTCTGCTAGGAAGAATGCCACCCTGCAGGGTTGGGGGGAAGAGGGCCAGGTTACAGAATGAAGGAGAGGGTTGGGGGTCACCGACTTGTGGTAGTTGTTGAGAGATCCGCCCGACATGAGGCACACCTCTGCTAGGAAGAATGCCACCCTGCAGGGTTGGGGGGAAGAGGGCCAGGTTACAGAATGAAGGAGAGGGTTGGGGGTCACCGACTTGTGGTAGTTGTTGAGAGATCCGCCCGACATGAGGCACACCTCTGCTAGGAAGAATGCCACCCTGCAGGGTTGGGGGGAAGAGGGCCAGGTTACAGAATGAAGGAGAGGGTTGGGGGTCACCGACTTGTGGTAGTTGTTGAGAGATCCGCCCGACATGAGGCACACCTCTGCTAGGAAGAATGCCACCCTGCAGGGTTGGGGGGAAGAGGGCCAGGTTACAGAATGAAGGAGAGGGTTGGGGGTCACCGACTTGTGGTAGTTGTTGAGAGATCCGCCCGACATGAGGCACACCTCTGCTAGGAAGAATGCCACCCTGGGGAAGAAGAGAGAGGGGTGGAAGGCAGTCCGGTTACTGAATGAACGAGTGGGTTAGTGGTAACCGCCTCCTGATAGTTGTTGAGCGAGCTGCCCGCCCGACATGAGACACACCTCCGCTAGGAAGAATGGCCCTCTGCAGGCGAAGAGAGAGGGGTGGGAGGAAGCAGTTCAGGTCAAATGTGTGTGTGAGTAGAGGGGCCTGCGAGGGGCGTGGAAGGGAGTGCGAGAGGGATTTGTTAAGGGAGCCGTCTGACAGGAGACAGACACACCTCCGCTAGGAAGAACGTCCCCCAACGAGGGAGTGGAGAGAGGGTTGGAAGGGAGTTGGGTTACTAATTGAACGAGCGGGGTAGGGGTAACCGACTTGCTGAGCGCGAGCCTCCTGACAAGAGGCAGACGCCGCCGCTAGGAAGAAGGCCACCCTGGGAAGCAGAGCTGGGAGGGAGGAAGGGGTTCAGATCAATGTGTGTGTGAGTAGAGGGGCCTATGAGGGGTGTGGCTTGTGGTAGTTGTTGAGCGAGACCCCTGACAAGAGGCAGAGCTCCGCTGGGAAGGATGCCACCCTGCAGGCGAGGAGAGAGGCAGGGGGAGAGTGCAAGAAGGGGTTGAGATGAAGTGAGTTGGGGAGGAGAGCCCCTCGACATGAGACGGGCCTCGGCTAGGAGGAACGCCACCCTGCCTGGGGGCGAAGAGAGAGGTGTGGAAAGTGTGCAAGGAGTTGTTTGGGACAACGTGAGTGGGGGGGTAGAGCCGCCTGACATGGGACACACCTCCGCTAGGAAGAACGCCACCTGGAAGTGAGCACGGAGAGGTGGGAGGCGTTTTCTGAGCACGGAGAGGTGGTAGGCGTTTTCTGAGCACGGAGAGGTGGGAGGCGTTTTCTGAGCACGGAGAGGTGGGAGGCGTTTTCTGAGCACGGAGAGGTGGGAGGCGTGGAACAAGGGGTTTGGAAGCGAGGGGGTCAAGAGAGAGAGAGAGAGAGTTGTGGTAGTTGTTGAGAGACAGACTGCCGCTGCTAGGTAGAACAGATGTGAGTGGGAGTGCTCGACAAGAGGCACCCGACAAGAGGCACCCGACAAGAGGCACACCTCTGCCGGGAAGAACGCCACCGTGGAAGGAAAGAGAGAGGCAGAGGGAGGAACGGGGTCAGGTAAATGCAGGGGTGCAGCGTTGCTTGCTCTCACCATGCAAGCGTGCTCAGACGACTCAGTATGCCAGAGTGTAGCACACTGGACGAGACGGCTGCATGCATGCATGCAGCATGCTCTCACCGTACAAGTGCTAGTGTTGCTTGCACTCACCATGCGAGCGTATAACAGACGATGCTGACTTTGAGCGCCTGCCGGTGGGCGTACTGGATGGTCACACAGCACACGCAGAGATGGTTGGCATGCAGGCTTGCTTGCTTGCGTGCACGCTCTCACTCTGCTCTCACCATGCGAACGTGTAGCAGACGATGCTGCCTTTGAGCGCCTGCCAGTGCGCGTACTGGATGGTCACACAGCACATGCAGAGATGGTTGGCATGCAGGCTTGCTTGCTTGCGTGCACGCTCTCACTCTGCTCTCACCATGCGAGCGTATAACAGACGATGCTGACTTTCAGCGCCTGCCCGTGCGCGTATTGGATGGTGACACAGCACACGCAGCCGCCCAGCACGGAGGGAGCGATGGTTGCCTGGCAGGCCAGCTTACTCTCACCATTCAAGGGAGGGTGCTCTCACCATGCGAGTGTGTAGCACACGATGCTGACTTTGAGCGCCTGCCCGTGCGCGTACTGGATGGTGACACAGCACACGCAGCCGCCCAGCACGGAGATGAGCGCCATGCCCGCCGCCAGCAGCATGCCTCCTATGATTCCAAACAGCGTCGCGGTGCTCGACTGGTAACCGCATTCCAGCACTTGGCTCACGTTCGCCTCTGGAGGCACTGTGTACGTCTGCATGGGGGAGGTGAGGTGGGGGTGGGGTGTGGAGGAGGAACAGGGTTAAGGCGCAAGGGGTGAAAACGGAGATGGGCGCCACCAACGCCGCTAGCAGAATCCCTGCTAGAATGACAAATAGCGTCGCCGTGCTCGACTGGTAACCGCATTCCAGCACTTCGCTCACGCTCGCCTCTGGAGGCACTGTCTACGCCTGCATGGGGTTGGGGGTGGGGGAGGGGAGAAAGCGGGTGGGTGTGAGAAAGTGCCGGAGGGGGGAGGTTGGAGGGGAGGGGAGGGGGAGAAAGTGGGTGGGTGTGGGGAAGGCGGACGGGTGTGGAAGCAGAGGATTTTGACTGGTAACCGTATCGTAACACTTAGGTCACGTTCGCCTCTGGCGGCACTGTGTATGCTATGCCTGCATTGCAAAGGAGGAATCGGGGCGTGCAGAGGCGGGTCGGTGGGGGAGCGGATGAAGGGGAGGGGGGGGAGCATGGGGGAAGGGACGGACGAGGGGAAGGAGTGAACATTGAGACGAGGGGAAGGAGTGAAGATTGAGACGTCTCAAAAGAGAAGGGGACATTGAGGGAACGGGGAGGGAGGGATGGGGGGAACGAAGGCGATTAACAAGAGGTCCAGTGGAGGACAGACCAAGGGGAGGGAGAAGTGACGAACGGCATCCAGCTGCTGAGTCAAAAGGTGTTAGTGCTTGACCAGTAACTTGGTAACCCGCATTGTAATGCGCTACTCGATAATGTCAGTCCTGCTGGTGAGTGAAAAAGGAGGACACGCTTGAAGGGAAAGCTGGTAACCACATGTAACCATTGGGAACACATGCTTGTGCTCACGCTCGCTTCGAGAAGTACTGGCAATAGCTGCATTGGCAGGAGGGAAGGGCGTTTTTCGCGCGACGCTCTCAAGATCTTCTAAGCTGCATTGGAAACTCAATAACGAGAACGGTGTGAACCGGAAGGCATTAGGGATGAACATGAATGAAGCGTAATGTGCGAACTTGCACCAACAACGATACCGATGAAACCAAGACGCCATTTTGACCTAATGCAAATGCGTCGTTATTTCGGCTTCTAGGAAGTTTCCACGAAAGCAAATCATCCACTAGGACTGAACGTGAAACGAAATGTGCGTCGCACCAAAAATAGCTACTAGCAGACGACAAGACTGTTGTGACCTAATGCAAACGCGAAGGACCAATCGGCGTCCCAAATGCTTTCGATGTAACCAGAAAGCTTTTGGTTTTAAACGCGAAACGAAATGCGCCTCGCACTGACAAAGCGGACGGCTACTTTGACCTAATGCCGACGCCAGGGCTATCATTCAAGCGACGCGCGCGCCTCGTGCGAGCGGCCTTCAGAGAAAAAGGCCGGTTCCCCGCGCCGATAAGCGACACCATTAGGGCGATGGGATGTCGCCTAAAAGCGTTGAGTGGAATGTAATAACGAGGATACGAGGCCGCATTTGCGAGCTGTTACGATAACAAGCGGTAATGAGCGGTTAACGACGGGCAGGCTAGTAGGGTGACGACGACGGACGGCTTTGGCTATCATACTGCGTGTTATTCGCCGAAGAGGGGAACATCATTGCGACGAAGCCCAGGCCGCATTTACGAGATGCTACAATAATGAGCGGTGATGAGCGGTACGGAGCGGTTAACGACGGCGAGCCGCGTGCGACTCACAGAAGAGGGGAGCAGCATGGCGAGGAGGCCCAGCGTGCATGCGCCAGCGCCCAGCGCTAGCGTCGCAAGCACGACGAATATGGACGCCTTCGGGCCGACCTGGATCTCATCGGGATCGATCGCCATCGCACCGCGACTTACTCGTCACCGCGCGCACACTGGCGTCCGAACGACCCTATAAATAACGAAGTCGTTTCAAGGTGTGACACGCTAGTTAATCATAGGCGCTAGGTTCTAATAGTGTAGAGCCCTAACGCTAGGAATGCTTAGTGTGAGTGGGCGGCGAAAAACTAGGACCGCTGGTTGTTGTGAGCTTGTGATGTGCGTGCTTCAGACAAACCCGAGGTCCTTGGATTGCGGGTGAGCGCCGCAATCGCAAGTGGGAAATTCAAGGGAATACATGGAGTGATGGTTGTGTGGGCAGATTTTGGTTCTCAGTTGCAATTTCAGTAATCAAACTTGTGTAGCACCCTCGAAGATCTCAAGCTTGCAGACTCTGGTTTAAAGTCATTGTGGCGATACACAACCTGACTGGCTCTTCCGTTTGCTCTCGGTCAGCCATAGGTCTCCAGTAAAAAACACCAGCCTCCAACTTGGTACGGACGGATCATCAGCACATACTGTAGTATTTCCCGACACAATACAAAAGCCTTGGAGGGCACTAAAAATGAGAACAAACAACCCTTCTACCTTGATGGATACAAAACCTATGAACTTCACCTACTATTCAATTTCAGCCAGAGCCTTCTCAATCCTGTCCATGGCCTGTAAAAGCACTTCATCCGCTGCCGCATACGATATTCGGATGCACTCGGGAGCTCCAAAGGCCTCTCCTGGAACCAATGCAACCTGATACATAACAGAGGTAAGGTTTCACCGAAAGGAGAGGGAAGAAAGTCCATTACATCACATTTTATCATGTGCTGCATCCATGGGTGCAATGAGGGCATGACTGCATGTACATATGTCAGCATAGAGGAGACCGATATGGGTGTACAGGACAAGATGTGGCGATAACGCATGTCAGAGAAAAACGTGCATCGCATGTCAATGGGCACAAAGGATGACATAAAAGGGCATAAGGCCGCTGCTGCATCTGTTGCAGCAGGTGTGACGGAGCCAAAACCCCACCCTGCATGTTCACACTTCACAGCAGGACCCTCACCTACCTGCCCCCTCTCCAGCAAGTATTGAGCCAAACCCCCACAGCCCCCCAATTGCACATCGTGCCCCTGTGTGAACCCCCGACAGTCGCAGCAGCTGCTACTCTCACCTGCCCCATCTCTAGCAGGAATCGGCACATCTATGTGCTGTCCGTCCATGATCGGGCCAAACCCCCACACCCCTGCAATTGCACGTCATGCCCCTGTGTGATGTGAGCCCCTGACAGTCACAGCAGCTACTCTCACCTGCCCCCGCTCCAGCAAATATCGGCACATTGACTCGCTGTCCGTGATTGGTCCAAACCCTGGGCCTGAGCGGCCGTAGAAGGAGGAGACGTCCGGGAAGAGATAGAACGCTCCCTGGTGGTGGTGGTGATGTGGGAGTGGTGGGAGGGGTGGGAGGAGTGGTAAAGGTTGGGAGTGGAGAGTGATGAAGGGAAAGTGGCCGTAGAAGGAGGAGACGTCCGGGAAGAGATAGAACGCCCCCTGGGGTTGATGGTGTGGGAGGGGAGGGGAGGAGGAGAGGAAGGGAAGAGGGGAAGAGGGATGAAAGGGGAGAGACATGAGGTAAGCAGCCGTAGAAGGAGGACATGACTGGGAAAAGATAGAAAGCCTCAGCATGTCTCTCCTCCACCTGAAAGCCTCCACCACCGCTGCTGCCTCTCTGGGCGTTCCCCCATGCATGTTCCTAGATCCCCACACTACTTCCATACCTGGGGCGCGGCCAGCTTGATTCCAGCAATCTTCTGCAGCCGAGCTGTCAGCATGTCCCGCCTTCTCCTGAATGCCGCCACGCCACCATCGCTGCCACTGTGTCGCCCCCACGCGTGTTGAGAACCCTCAGACAGATTACTTCCTCACTTGGGGCACGCCAGCTTGACTTGACCCCGGCTATCTTCTCCATCCGAGCATCCAGCATGCCTCGCCTCCTCCTGAATGCCGCCACCATGGATTGAAAGTTCTGACAAAGAATCCTCTCAATCGCTCACGTCAGGTTTAGGAAGTCGCCTACCTGTGGAACGGACAGTCGCGGGTAGAGAGACGACTTTTGAGGCGCCTCAAAAAGGTTTAGGAAGTCGCCTACCTGTGGAACGAACAGTTTCACTGCGGCTATCTTCTCCAGCCGAGTCACCAGCATGTCTCGTCTCGCCGCCCCCTGAATGCCGCCACCATCCTTGCCCAGTGGCGCCCACACGCGCATGTTTTGTACATGTTTCACAGCACTTCCGTACCTGAGGCACTGACAGCTTGATTCCAACAATGTTTCTCCAACCGGGATCTCCAGCTATTTCTACACACGGGCTCCCTTACCTGCGACTCGCCTCCCTATTGCTGCCACTGTGGATTGTTTCATTGGTACATATAATTACTCCCTTACCTGGGGCACAGCGAGCTTGATTCTTGAGACGATTTTTGAGGCGCCTCAAAAGTTGCTGCCACTGTGGATTGTTTCGTTGGTACAGATAATTACTCCCATACCTGGGGCACGGTGAGATTGATTCCAGCAATCTTCTCCAGCCGAGCGGTCAGCATGTCCCGCCTTCTCTTGAATGCCGCCACCATCGCTGCCACTGTGTCGGCCCCACGCGTGTTGAAAACCCTCAGACAGATTACTTTCTCACCTGGGGCACCTCAAAGGCCTCCTTCTCACCTGGGGCACCTCAAAGGCCTTCTTCTCACCTGGGGCACCTCAAAGGTCTTCTTCTCACCTGGGGCACCTCAAAGGTCTTCTTCTCACCTGGGGCTCCTCAAAGGCCTCCTTCTCACCTGGGGCACCTCAAAGGTCTTCTTCTCACCTGGGGCACCTCAAAGGTCTTCTTCTCACCTGGGGCACCTCAAAGGCCTTCTTCTCACCTGGGGCACCTCAAAGGCCTTCTTCTCACCTGGGGCACCTCAAAGGTCTTCTTCTCACCTGGGGCACCTCAAAGGTCTTCTTCTCACCTGGGGCACCTCAAAGGCCTCCTTCTCACCTGGGGCACCTCAAAGGCCTTCTTCTCACCTGGGGCACCTCAAAGGTCTTCTCACCTGGGGCACCTCAAAGGCCTTCTTCTCACCTGGGGCACCTCAAAGGTCTTCTTCTCACCTGGGGCACCTCAAAGGCCTTCTTCTCACCTGGGGCACCTCAAAGGTCTTCTTCTCACCTGGGGCACCTCAAAGGTCTTCTTCTCACCTGGGGCACCTCAAAGGTCTTCTTCTCACCTGGGGCACCTCAAAGGCCTCCTTCTCACCTGGGGCACCTCAAAGGCCTTCTTCTCACCTGGGGCACCTCAAAGGTCTTCTTCTCACCTGGGGCACCTCAAAGGTCTTCTTCTCACCTGGGGCACCTCAAAGGTCTTCTTCTCACCTGGGGCACCTCAAAGGTCTTCTTCTCACCTGGGGCACCTCAAAGGCCTCCTCACCTGGGGCACCTCAAAGGCCTTCTTCTCACCTGGGGCACCTCAAAGGTCTTCTCACCTGGGGCACCTCAAAGGCCTTCTTCTCACCTGGGGCACCCCAAAGGTCTTCTTCTCACCTGGGGCACCTCAAAGGCCTTCTTCTCACCTGGGGCACCTCAAAGGCCTTCTTCTCACCTGGGGCACCTCAAAGGTCTTCTTCTCACCTGGGGCACCTCAAAGGTCTTCTTCTCACCTGGGGCACCTCAAAGGTCTTCTTCTCACCTGGGGCACCTCAAAGGCCTTCTTCTCACCTGGGGCACCTCAAAGGCCTTCTTCTCACCTGGGGCACCTCAAAGGTCTTCTCACCTGGGGCACCTCAAAGGCCTTCTTCTCACCTGGGGCACCTCAAAGGCCTTCTTCTCACCTGGGGCACCTCAAAGGTCTTCTTCTCACCTGGGGCACCTCAAAGGTCTTCTTCTCACCTGGGGCACCTCAAAGGTCTTCTTCTCACCTGGGGCACCTCAAAGGCCTTCTTCTCACCTGGGGCACCTCAAAGGCCTTCTTCTCACCTGGGGCACCTCAAAGGTCTTCTCACCTGGGGCACCTCAAAGGCCTTCTTCTCACCTGGGGCACCTCAAAGGCCTTCTTCTCACCTGGGGCACCTCAAAGGTCTTCTTCTCACCTGGGGCACCTCAAAGGTCTTCTTCTCACCTGGGGCACCTCAAAGGCCTTCTTCTCACCTGGGGCACCTCAAAGGCCTTCTTCTCACCTGGGGCACCTCAAAGGTCTTCTTCTCACCTGGGGCACCTCAAAGGTCTTCTTCTCACCTGGGGCACCTCAAAGGCCTCCTTCTCACCTGGGGCACCTCAAAGGTCTTCTTCTCACCTGGGGCACCTCAAAGGTCTTCTTCTCACCTGGGGCACCTCAAAGGCCTTCTTCTCACCTGGGGCACCTCAAAGGCCTTCTTCTCACCTGGGGCACCTCAAAGGTCTTCTTCTCACCTGGGGCACCTCAAAGGTCTTCTTCTCACCTGGGGCACCTCAAAGGCCTCCTTCTCACCTGGGGCACCTCAAAGGCCTTCTTCTCACCTGGGGCACCTCAAAGGTCTTCTCACCTGGGGCACCTCAAAGGCCTTCTTCTCACCTGGGGCACCTCAAAGGTCTTCTTCTCACCTGGGGCACCTCAAAGGCCTTCTTCTCACCTGGGGCACCTCAAAGGTCTTCTTCTCACCTGGGGCACCTCAAAGGTCTTCTTCTCACCTGGGGCACCTCAAAGGCCTTCTTCTCACCTGGGGCACCTCAAAGGTCTTCTTCTCACCTGGGGCACCTCAAAGGCCTTCTTCTCACCTGGGGCACCTCAAAGGCCTTCTTCTCACCTGGGGCACCTCAAAGGTCTTCTCACCTGGGGCACCTCAAAGGCCTTCTTCTCACCTGGGGCTCCTCAAAGGTCTTCTTCTCACCTGGGGCACCTCAAAGGCCTTCTTCTCACCTGGGGCACCTCAAAGGTCTTCTTCTCACCTGGGGCACCTCAAAGGTCTTCTTCTCACCTGGGGCACCTCAAAGGTCTTCTTCTCACCTGGGGCACCTCAAAGGCCTTCTTCTCACCTGGGGCACCTCAAAGGCCTTCTTCTCACCTGGGGCACCTCAAAGGTCTTCTCACCTGGGGCACCTCAAAGGCCTTCTTCTCACCTGGGGCACCTCAAAGGTCTTCTTCTCACCTGGGGCACCTCAAAGGTCTTCTCACCTGGGGCACCTCAAAGGCCTTCTTCTCACCTGGGGCACCTCAAAGGTCTTCTTCTCACCTGGGGCACCTCAAAGGTCTTCTTCTCACCTGGGGCACCTCAAAGGTCTTCTTCTCACCTGGGGCACCTCAAAGGTCTTCTTCTCACCTGGGGCACCTCAAAGGCCTTCTTCTCACCTGGGGCACCTCAAAGGCCTTCTTCTCACCTGGGGCACCTCAAAGGTCTTCTTCTCACCTGGGGCACCTCAAAGGTCTTCTTCTCACCTGGGGCACCTCAAAGGCCTCCTTCTCACCTGGGGCACCTCAAAGGCCTTCTTCTCACCTGGGGCACCTCAAAGGTCTTCTCACCTGGGGCACCTCAAAGGCCTTCTTCTCACCTGGGGCACCTCAAAGGTCTTCTTCTCACCTGGGGCACCTCAAAGGCCTTCTTCTCACCTGGGGCACCTCAAAGGTCTTCTTCTCACCTGGGGCACCTCAAAGGTCTTCTTCTCACCTGGGGCACCTCAAAGGTCTTCTTCTCACCTGGGGCACCTCAAAGGCCTCCTTCTCACCTGGGGCACCTCAAAGGCCTTCTTCTCACCTGGGGCACCTCAAAGGCCTTCTTCTCACCTGGGGCACCTCAAAGGTCTTCTTCTCACCTGGGGCACCTCAAAGGTCTTCTTCTCACCTGGGGCACCTCAAAGGCCTCCTTCTCACCTGGGGCACCTCAAAGGCCTTCTTCTCACCTGGGGCACCTCAAAGGTCTTCTCACCTGGGGCACCTCAAAGGCCTTCTTCTCACCTGGGGCACCTCAAAGGTCTTCTTCTCACCTGGGGCACCTCAAAGGCCTTCTTCTCACCTGGGGCACCTCAAAGGTCTTCTTCTCACCTGGGGCACCTCAAAGGCCTTCTTCTCACCTGGGGCACCTCAAAGGCCTTCTTCTCACCTGGGGCACCTCAAAGGTCTTCTCACCTGGGGCACCTCAAAGGCCTTCTTCTCACCTGGGGCACCTCAAAGGTCTTCTTCTCACCTGGGGCACCTCAAAGGCCTTCTTCTCACCTGGGGCACCTCAAAGGTCTTCTTCTCACCTGGGGCACCTCAAAGGTCTTCTCACCTGGGGCACGGCCAGATTGATGCCAGCAATCTTCTCTAGGCGAGCCACCAGCATGTCTCTCCGCCTCCTGAATGCCGCCACCATCGCTGCCACTGTGTCTCCCCCACACGGCCCCAGCTCAAATGCTGCCATGGCTGCCTTCTGAGCGATGCTGCTGGCGCCCGACGTGGTCTGCTTGGGTTGGAATAGAAGGTGGGGAGGGAGTAAGGGAATACTGTGATGTGGGGTGGGGGAAAAGAGATGGGGTTGAAACGGGTTGCTGGCATCAGGTCCTGCCCCCACACGGCCCCAGCTGAAACGCTGCCAGGCCAGGGATGCTTCCTTTCTGAGTGATGCTGCTGGAGCCAGAGGTGGTCCGCGGAGCGTAAGGGGATTAAAAAGCAACGACCGGAGCAGCACGGAGGGTAGTTTGCGAGTGAAAGTGTAAGAGTGTAAGAACAATTGGACAGGTCGATCCAGCCAGCCCCTCACAACCCCTTACACCCCCCTGCAACCCTTTTCATCCCCTCTGAACTGAACCCCACCTGGCTCTGAATGCGGTTGGCCACTGCCGCAAACGACTTGACTGTCAATCACAGCCCGTCCCAGCCCGTCCCAGCCCCTCCCAACCCATTTCAGCCCCACCTGGCTCTGAATGCGGTTGGCCGCTGCTGCGAATGGCTTGGGAGCCGCAAGATAGCCAAGTCGCCAGCCTGTCATGGCGAAGGCCTGTACGGGGGGAGGAGGTAGTGGGGGTTAGGGGAGGGTGAGGGGGGTTGCGGTGAGATATAGAGGAGGGTGAATGGATGCTGCAAACGGCTTGGGAGCTGCGAGATAGCCCAGGCGCCAGCCAGTCATGGCGAACGCCTGTGAGTGGGGAGAGAGGAGTCAAGAGGAGGAAAGAATAAAAAACGAAGGGGGGGAGATAGTGAGAAAGAGGTGAGAGTGCCATGCCATGCAATGCATACCTTGGAGAAGCCGTTGACTGTGAGTGAGTGTATGCTCACACATGCCAGGTAACGGCTTGCTGCGGTTCAAATCCATTTTCTACTCTGCCAGTTAAGGGGTGATGACCAGTAAGGGGTGAAAAGAGGCTGAGGAGGGATGGGCTACAGAGTCTGTATGCGCTGAGCTGCCCGGCCTGCATCGTGCCGTGCCTTGTTGAGCACCTGTGGAGGAGAAGAGGGGAGGGAAATGAAAGGGGGAGAGGAGGGAAGGGGACGAAAGGAAAGTAGGGGGACGAGGAAAGAGGCAGAGGCGGAGTGCGGTTTGAAGAAATTCTGCCAGAACCAAGGCTTGTAGGTTGTTCATCCCGGACAGACTGCCCTGAGCTGCGATGATGACCAGTAAGGGGTGATGACCAGCGGGTTGTGCGCTCTTTCAGGGTGCTCTGAGAGTGCCGCACAAACATACCTCGGAAGAAGCTGCTGACTGTGAGTGTGCTGTGCTCCCACCTGCTGGGCAGAGCTGTGTGCCCTTCAAGGTTGCCCTTCAAGGCTGCCCTTCAAGGTTGCCCTTCAAGGTTTCCCTGCGAGTGCTCTGAGAGTGCTCTGAGAGTGGTGAGAGTGGGGTGGCATACCTTGAAGAATCTGTTGACTCTGACTGTGCGCTCTCACATGCCTGCCAGGGAGAGTTGTGCGCTCTTTGAGTTGAGGTGCCCTAACAGTGTTCTGTGCGTGCCCGGGGATGAGATTGTTCTGAGATTCCTCTGAGAGTGTTCTGTGAATGCCATACCTTGCCATACTGTACTGTGAGCGTGTGCTCCCACATGTGCAGGAGGGGTGTAGGTGTGCACTCTTTAAAAACGCACCCACATTCTCAGTGCTCTGAGAATGCCCTGAGAGCAGCATACCTTGGAAGCTGTTTGCACTCCCACATGCCCATTCTGTGCGTGCTCTCTGAGAATGCCCTGAGAGCAGCATACCTTGGAGAAGCCGTTGACTGTGAGCGTGCGCTCCCACATGCCCGGGAGCGAAGCAAAGCTCACGTGCCGAGCTGGCGGATAGATGATGTGCTCGTAGATCTCGTCTGCTAGGACCTGTGTTTGTGGGTGGTGGGGGCGCAAAACGGCAGAGGAGCAGAAGGCAAGGACAACTGGTGGGTGATTTATGATGTGCCGAGCTGGCGGGTAGATGATGTGCTCGTAGATCTCGTCTGCTAGGACCTGTGTGCATGGGGGGTGCAGGGGGGCGTGTGGTGTGTGATGCATGGCAATGCATGGCATGGGATGGAATGACTACAGCTGGCGGGTAGATGATGTGCTCGTAGATCTCGTCTGCTAGGACCTGGATGGATGGAGGTGGTAGAGGCATAACGACACAAGACAAGAGCGCATGAAGGGGATGGAGGTGGTTAGCCTATGAATAGAGCTGGCGGGAGTATGAGTGTTGCAGCTGCTCTGGTGAATACACGGCTTCTAAGGGGTTAGCCTGTTTTTGAGTCGACTAAAAAATGAGCCTATGAATAGAGCTGGCGGGAGTAAGATGTTGCAACTGCTCTGGCGAATACACAGCTGTTAAGGAGTTCGCGAGGGAGCAGAGGATGCGAAGTTGCAAGGCTGGGGCGAGGGGTGGAAGGCTGAGAGCAGCACTCACCACACACGAGGGGGAGGACCAGAACTCACCACACACGAGGGGGAGGACCAGAACTCACCACACACGAGGGGGAGGACCAGAACTCACCACACACGAGGGGGAGGACCAGAACTCACCACACACGAGGGGGAGGACCAGAACTCACCACACACGAGGGGGAGGACCAGAACTCACCACACACGAGGGGGAGGACCAGAACTCACCACACACGAGGGGGAGGACCAGAACTCACCACACACGAGGGGGAGGACCAGAACTCACCACACACGAGGGGGAGGACCAGAACTCACCACACACGAGGGGGAGGACCAGAACTCACCAAGAGCCGTGGGTGTTGGGCCACCACGTCGGCCAGTTCTTGCAGTTGCTCTGGCGAGTAGACGGCTCCCGTGGGGTTGGAGGGCGAGCAGAGGATGAGGAGGCGCGAGGCGGGGGAGACTAAGAGAGCTGAGACACATAACACCCTCCCTTCCCCACATGGGCAAAGCACTCACCAGCAACCGGGGGTGTTGGGCCACCACTTGCGCCAGTTCCTGCAGCTGCTCTGGCGATTAGACGGCTCCCGTGGGGTTGGAGGGCGAGCAGAGGATGAGGAGGCGCGAGGCACGAGAGAGGGCGGCTTGCAGAGGCCTTACGAGGAGGAACAACTCTCAAGCAAGGAGCGGAACTCACCAAGAGCCGCGGGTGCTGGGCGACAATCTCTGCCAGCTGCTGCAGCTGCTCCGGGGAATACACAGCCCCGGTGGGGTTGGAGGGCGAGCAGAGGATGAGGAGGCGCGAGGCGGGGGTGAGTGCGGCTTGCAGGGCGGAGGGGGAGAGGAGGAAGGAGTGGGCCGTGGTGGTGGGGAGGACGACGGGCGTGGCTCCCACGAGTTTAGCCATTTCAGGGTAGGACACCCAGTAGGGCGCTGGGATGATGACCTGGGGGGGTAAACGAAGGGAAGGAGGGGATACAAGAGGATGAGGCAGCAGCAGCAGCCGTGGGCCCCAGCCCAGCCTCCCACGAGGCGAGCCATCTCGGGGTAGGACACCCAGTAGGGCGCTGGGATGATGACCTGAGAAGGGGGGGGGTGCGGAAGAGGCAAGTGCAGGGGGGAGAGAGGGCAAAGCGGGAGTCAGCATGTCCTGTGGCAGTGGCAGCATGAATGCTGACGAGTATGGTATGGCTCCAGTAGGCGAGCCATCTCAGGGTAGGATACCCAGTAGGGCGCTGGGATGATGACCTGGGGGGGCGAGGGGCGGGGGGTGGGTGTTGGAAGAAGGGGCCAGATCGTTCTTGGGTGTTTTCAAGAATTCTTAAAAACACCCAGCCAGCCAAACGTGATTTCCAGTCTTCTGAATATATCATCTCCGGCCAGCCATTGTCACACACGATACCTTTGAGTCAACTCAGAAATACTATGGGCGCTGGGATCATGACGAGGGAGGGAGAAGGGAGAGGGGAGGAGGGGAGAGGAGGAGAGGAGAAGGGGGGGGGAGGGGAGGGGAGGGAGGGGGGGGGTGGTGGTGGAAGAAGCTTAGGCGAGAGTTTTTTGATAATTCTCAAAAAACGCTCTCAAAGAATTCTAAAAAAACGCTCTCAAAGAATTCTCAAAAAACACTCTCAAAGAATTCTCAAAAAACACTCTCAGAGAATTCTAAAAAAACACTCTCAAAGAATTCTCAAAGAACACTCTAGGCGAGAGATAGGGGCCAAGCGAGGTCACACATCGTTCCGTTCCATGGTGTTTGCGAGAATTCTCAAAAACACCAGCCGGCCTAGCCATAACAGCCTGGAACACGGCTTGCTTGGTTAGTGAGCACTAGAGGGTCAATCACTCCCACAGCTTCGCCCATGGCCACCTATCTCCCCTCTCACAGCGCCACATGATTCCCCATCCCAGTAATCCCCCCCCCCCTCACCTCGTCCACTGGCCTGCATGTCGCCATAACAGCCTGGAACACGGCTTGCTTGGCTGATGTGGGGTTTGATTTTATTCACCCTTCTACCCACGCACCTTCATCCCTCACCTTGTCCCAGTGAGTCATACGATCCTTCATCTCACTCTCTTCGTCCACTCTCACCTCGTCCCCCGGCCTGCATGTGGCCATAACAGCCGGGACGACACCCTGCTTGGCTGATGAGCACCAGGGTCAGTCACTCTCACAGCTTGGCCACCAGTGCGCCGCCATGTCATGTCAATCCCGGCCTGCATGTGGCCATCACCCCTTGGAACATGGGTGGGTGGGTGGCCTGCTTGGCTGGATGGGCACATGGGATGGGTGGGTGAGCCACTCTCACAGCTTCGCCCACCTCTCCTATCCCCTCTCCCTCCCAGTGCTCCCCCCTCACCTCGTCCCCCGGACTGCATGCAGCCATCACCCCTTGGAACACGGCCTGCTTGGCGCCGTTGCTCACCACCACTTCCTCTGGCGAGTAACTGAGACCGTTCTCCGCTGAAAGAGGAAGGAAGGGATGGACAAAGGAGAGGCGGGAGGAATGAGTGAGGAGAGGCACAGGCGAGGCATGGAGGGCAGCTGAGAGCGCCGTTGGTCACCGGTACTTCCTCTGGCGAGTACGTCAAACCGTTCTCGGCTGAAAGAGGAAGGGATGGAGAAAGGAGAGGCGGGAGGAATGAGTGAGGAGAGGCACAAGAGGACCTGCTTGGCGCGTTGCTCACCTCACCACCACGCCACATCCTCTGGCGAGGTAGGTCAGTCCGTTCTCAGCTGTGGGGAGGGAGGGAGGGAAAGAAAGGAGGAGAGGAAGGAAGGAAGGATCACAGAGGAGTGAGGTGCCGTTGCTCACCACCACCACGTCTTCCGGCGAGTTGGTCAGCCCATTTTTCGACGACGGGCCACGCAACGACTCACAATTGAGCTTCTCGCAAATGGCTGCTCGGAGCTCCAGAGTGCCCTGGTTGGTCACCTGCCCACGGTATGATTTCACCATCACCACTACCCCCCATGCCCACATCCCTCCCTCCCCCCCCCCAAGACTCACTCTTGAGCTTCTCGCAGATGGCCACTCTGAGCTCCAGAGTGCCCTGGTTGGGCACCGACCCACGGTTTGATTCAATTTGACCATCACTACCCCACCCCCTGCCCCACCCTCAGCCCATTCTCTTAACTTTAACCACCAATGAGCCATGCCACCACTCACTCTTGAGCTTCTCGCAGATGGCCGCTCTGAGCTCCAGAGTGCCCTGGTTGGGCGCATAGCGTGTGAAGCCCTGCCGCAGAGCCGCCACTCCTGCCTGGTGAATCGGTCGGGTGGGGAAAGGAAGGGGTTGTTATATGGTGAACAGAGGGTGGGGGGAGGGAATGGCTATGCTGATTGGGCAAGTAGCGTGTGAAGCCCTGCCGCAGAGCCGCCACTCCTGCCTGGTGAAAGGGGGGGGTGGGGGGCGGGGGTTGAGGGGAGTGGGGGGAGGGGGCGGGTGGGTGTGTAATAATGGGAGAATGGAGTGTGGGGGGAGGGAATGGCTATCCTGGATGGACGCGTGGCGCGTGAAGCCTGGCCTGGCCATAGGGCCGCCACTCCTGCGTGGTGGGTGTAGCGGGTGGGCGTGGATGGGGGGGTGGGTGGTTGTGTGAGTGTAATGGGTGTGAGTGCAGCGAATGGTTGGGCGCGTGGTTCGTTCGTGAAGCCCTGCCGCAGAGCCGCCACTCCTGCCTGGCTGGTGGGAGGAGGAGGGGAGGTTGCAGTAGTGGGGGGGATGGGGTGTGGTGATCCTGGTTGGGCGCGTAGCTCGATCGTGAAGCCCTGCCGTAGATGGTGAGTGAGAGAGGGGATTATAACGATTCCCTGCACCTTACTCACACATGCCCTCCCATTCCATCACCCGTGCGTTCATCAATTCCCCCTTCCCCTGCCCTCCCTGCCCTCCCTGCCCTCCCTCCCTCCCCTCCGCCTGCCCTCTCCCTACCGCGTCAACCGCCCTGCGAGTGCCGCCCTCCCTTCCTGCTCTGCTCTCCCCCTTCGTTCCCCCCCACGATCCCGCTTTCCCCCCCCCCCCTCCTCAATCCCCTTCCCCTGCCCTTTACTCCCCTCCACCTGCCCTCTCCCTACCGCTTCAACCGCCCTTCGGCGGGTGCCGCCCTCTGAACCCGCTCTTCCCCCTCGCTCCCCCCCTCACCCACACGACCTCCCTCGACCTCGACAATCAGCGGAACGCCTGATACCCTCGCCGATCGTCCCTCCCTCAACCTCGATAATCTCTTTACGAGCCTCCCTCTAAATGCGCTCCCACCCACTCGCCTGCTCGCTCCCCTCCCCCCCTTTCCCCACCTTCCCCCCTCTCCCCCTCATCCCTATCACCCCCCTCACCTCGACAATTTCCTTGGGGGTGTCGAAATCCGGCACCCCTGCGGCCAGCTCGATCAGCGGAACGCCCTGCGCCTTGAGCGCCCCCTCCCTCCCTCTCTGCGCTCCCACCCACTCGTCGTGCTCTCACTTCCTTTATTCCCATTCCGCTCGTTCCTTGTCGCAATCCCACGTTCCTCTCTTTTCCTCACCTCGACAATTTCCTTGGGGGTGTCGAAATCCGGCTCCCCCGCGGCCAGCTCGATCAGCGGAACGCCCTGCGCCTTGAGCGCCCGCGCCGCGTCCGTCAGTTGCGCCGTCCGCGACGCCGCCAGTCCCGCCACCACTGGGTTCAGCGCCGTCAGGGCATTCTCCCCCCCTACGCTCGCGCCTGCGTCCATGCCTACGGCGGAGGCGGAGGCGGGAGTGGCTGCTGCTGGAGTCGCGTCTACGTGCGCGGGCGCGGGGTGCTCCTGCTGCGGATGCGGGGGGAGTCCCGCGGAGGGGAGGGCGGAGGCTCCGCCACTGATCATGGCGGTAGAGCGGATATGGACTGCTTGGCGCGGAGGGGCTGGAGAGGGGCGCGCGCTAGCAGCAACGAGCGCGAATTGGCGTAGATTCCCCGAGAGGAAGGAAGAAGAGGAGGGAGGTGGCCGAAGGAGAGGGGGAGGGAGGGAGGGAAGGGGGGAGCGGTGAAATGTGGTGTAACGCATCCCTACCCAGCAATTTAACTATAGCGTTTAACTCGCTACGTAGGGCGATTAAGCTACAGCGTTTAACTCGCTACGTAGGACGATTAGACTATAGCGTCTAACTCGCTACGTAGGGCTATTTAACTATAGCGTTCAACTCGCTACGTAGAGTAGGTAGCAGCGCGTTTGACGGAATAAAGAGGCGCTAGGAAGTGGTGATCATTTGTGGTGCACGACCTATGTGGTCAACCACCCCCGCAAAAAGACAAATGCGTTGGAGCCAGCCGAACCTCAACCGAGCCTCCTTCCCATTGGTTTGAATTCCAGCCTCCTTCACATTGGTTGGTTGGTAAACCAACCAACTGATCTAGTGTATGAGTAAGTGGATTTCACACGCGAATTGAAAACACTACACACATGTGCTAGTAAAGTGACGGTTTGGTTGGATGCGGCTTCATGAGGCTTGATACGATCTAAAACATTCTTTTTACACATTAGAGTGGTTTTGTAGGGTATTCCGCGTTACACACGTCACTGGGACAGAACCTTCGGCTGAAAGAGGCTGGGAAGCGTGGTGAAACGTGCAAGTGCGACTCGGTTCTGGTTTGGGGGAAATGGTAGGCCGAACCAGCTGATTGAAGCCCTCTTGCACGTACCCGCTTTACTGCGCTACAGTTTTGATTTATGTTCATTACATATTTACACTAGCTGTTACAACAACTCAACCACACCAATCCAATGTTTACTTCCCATTGAAAGCAAACCCATCTCACATTAGAGTTGAGTATTTGACTTAGACCTGTTCGTATGCCGGTTCGGGTTTATCCGGACCTGGACAAGCCGAATTCCTGGTTGTCACAACCCAGTCGGGTCGGGTCGAATCAAGACCTGAAATTATGACAACATATAGGGTCATAAAACGATCCACAAGGACAAGTCGACTTGACCCGTTATTAAGACATAATGCAAGGTTTGGCAATTGTGGCGCGCGAAGGCGGCGAAACACTGTTAGCAGTAACAGGCGAAGATACAAGATGTTGAGGTGTGCGGTAATGAATGCTTCCTTACACTACCCCCCTCCCCAAGAAGCCTCTCCGCTACACGATTGTGTGTATATCGCGGAATCCCCGGGTTCGCAGGTACACTTGGAAGACAGGGTGGTTTTCGATGTTGGCCAGGGGCACCCAGCTATCTTCCGCGGGGGTGCGGTCCTTCCAGCGAATGAGGAATTCAATCCCCCGACTCCCGTAAGGTGGCGAATCCGATGGCTCATAATCTTCTCAGGGTCGACAATCGGCTCCGATGCAGGACGGGTCATCGATGGCGGGCGATGGCGTGGCGGGTGGCTCGTGGTTGGGATATATGGGCGAAGTAAGCTGATGTGGAACGACGGGCTGATGTACTAGTTGGCCGGTAGCAGGAGGTGGGCGGTGACGGGTGTTATCATGCGGCTGATCTAGAACGGGCCAAAGGAGCGCGGGCAAAGTTTCGGCACAACGGGCAGGCATAAATTATAGGTGTCGAGCAGCACGTAATCTCCTGACTGGTACATCACAGGGCGGTGGTGGCGATCAGCGTTCCTCTTAGCGATAATGTTAGCCTTTTTATTGAGTCTGCTGCGCGTGTTCGGGCAGCTTGCGGAATTTCAGTGAACTGTTGCGCACGTGGTGTCGGGTTGTCCGAGTTCGATGTCATGGGCACTGTAGGGTTTAGCCCATAGTTGAGTCCGTAATAAACTCCCTTAGCCTCTGTTAGCTGTTGTGAATTGCCAGTGGTGATAAATGGGTCGGTGTGGTAGCCATAGGTGAATAGTCTGGTCAGTAGCGGGTTGGTTTGGGCAAGAGGATGGTATGCAGTTGGGCTGTGGGGCGGGCGAGGGCGACGACAATATTTGAGGCGCCTTTTTTGTACGTTACTGTGTAGTGGAAGCTGGACTCCAGATAGTCCAACCACCGCATCTGTCGAGGGTTGAGATTCGGTTGGGTGCGAAGATACTATAGCGAGCGATGGTTTGTCTGTACTATCACGTCTGCTCCCGTCAGGTAGAACCGCCACACCTTGAACGCAAGCACGATCGCCAACACTTCGCGGTCGCGTATCGGGTATTTGCGCCGTAGTGGGCGAAGCTTGCGGGACTCGCATGCGATTTGCTGAAGGCCATTCCCGAAGTCCTACAACAGTACGGCTCTGACGACGATGTCGCTTGCATTGGTGACGAGCTCAAATGGACGGTGAGGATCGGCGATGTGCAGAAAGAGCGGCGAGCACAAAAAAAAATTGAGGGCCGAGAAGGCGGCTTGCTCATTCTTCCCCCACGTGTACTCAACCCCTTCCTCAGCAGGTCAGTCAGCGGGGCAGTCAGTTTCGCCATTTTGGGGACGAACCGGTGCACGTAGTTGACGAACCCCATAAAACTGTATAGCTCGGTTAGGTTTGTCAACGCGTGCTAGGCCTGATTCGTAGCGGTTTTCTTCCGGTCTAGTTCCACCTTGCTGGCCAAAATCACGAGGCCCAAGAAATCCAGTATGTCCTGTACAAACTCACAATTTGAGGCTTTCGTCAGTAGGCGGTTCTCGACTTTTTTTTTTTCAACTGCTTCGATGTCCTGTAGGTGCTGTGCTCTGTTCGGGCTGTTAATCAGTATGTCATCCAGGTAGACGATGACTCACTTATCTAAGAGCGGGAAGAAGGCCTCGTTCATCGTCATATGAAAAGTGGCAGGGGCGTTGGTCAGTCCAAAGGGCATGATTGTATATTCGAACGAACCGTAGCGGGTGCCGAAGGCGGTTTTCGGGCAGTCGGGTGGGTTGACACGTATCTGATAGTAACCCCCTCGAAGGTCGATTTTAGATACGGGCTGTACGAACTCGATTGATGAGTTCGTCGGCTCGTGGGATGGGGTAGCAGGACTTGATCGTAACCCTATTTAGTGCGCGGTAGCCGAACCAAAATACGAAATCCCCCGTCTTTCTTTGGTGTGAACAGTATCGGCGATGCAAAAGGTGAACAAGCAAATGAACTTCTTCTCGAGTAGGGAATCGAGCTGCTTCCGTAGTTCGCCCTGTTCGGGTTGGGTCAGTCGGAACTATCTGTACAGTTGGTTGTGCTCCCAGTTCTAACTGTATGCTGTGGTTGTGCGGTCGATGATGTGGCAATCCCTCCGGTAGGTCATCAGGAAAAATCTCACTGTACTGCTTCAGGAGTGCTGTCAGGTCATCCGGTACGTCGGCGAGCTGTTTCTATAAGTCACTCGGCTGCTCCACTGCCTCGGCTTCCTGGACATAGCGGACTCGAACCAACGCAGACTCAGGCGAACTCATGCGAGGTAAGGCGATGTTGTTACCGTTGACTCGCACGCTGCAGTCACACGTCGGCCAATCTATCAGTGCGTTGTGTCGTCACAGCCAATCACGGACGAGAAAAATGTCAAATCCGTCGAGGGTTGTCACCAGCATTTTTTGGGTGAAGGTGAAGTTACCCCCGCAGCGAATCCGAGCTCGGTCCACGCGTTCCTGTATCGCCAGTGGCTGCCATCGGTTCCGTTTCAGTCCCAGTTTCCATGCTGCAGCAGTATTAACTAAGTCAATAGAATCTTCCCGCTGAGCGGTGTGGACTATCTGCCGTTGATCCCTCCTTGTTCAACCGAGTGTGGTCGACCGCGTGAATCGGCAATGTCACTCGGTCAGGTCGGTTGGGTCGGGCGAGCGGCGCGACTTGTCAGTAGAGGGCCCGTCTGCTACTGACCCCCTGCGTTTTCCTGCTGCTTGGTCTGCTTCTGCTGCTCTGCTCTTTATTTTCCCTTAGCTTCCGGGCATTCTATTTATTGTGCCCCGACCGATTGCACGCAAAGCAACACCCTTTGAATGGTGCGGCAGCGGCATTCGCGGCGACGGCGCGTATCGTTGCATGCTCGTTCGTCCCACGAGATCGATGTCCCTAGTTGCTACTCCTGTTGTAGGGCCCCGATCTCGGTCGGCGGAAAAAAATGAAGCCTTTCCGCCATTGCAAGAATTTCGTTGAACTCAATGACGTTGTGGAGCATGATTTCTTGCGCGATGTTGCTTCTCAGACTACCAACGTAGCAAACGATGCGCTCAGCTTCGTACATGTATATCACTTGCTTTCACAATGCCAAAACCCAGTTGGTGTAGTCTTGAAATGAGCTGGCTCCAAGTGTGGAGCTTTTGACGCACGGAAATTGACGCCGCGATTGGCTCAAACCTCCCTCGTAGACCTGCGCACCACGCGCCCCACATGCGATACTGTGCTACCTCCATGAAATATGATGAAGCCCAGGGTCCAATTGGTCCTTCCTGTGGTGGTAGAGCCTCATAGTCGCTTGGCTTCGTGACGATGACGAGCCACTAATCCATGGAGGGTCCTCGCAGTAACGACACAGTGTAGCAAATGTTCGCTGCATCCGACGAGACGTAGTTCGCATAAAAGAATTTCATAATGAAGAGTCATGTTTGAACCGTCGAACCACCCTGTTGACTTGGGTCAAAGCATGGCGGGCGCTGCGGCTTGAGCGGCATTGGTGAAGGGAGTGCCGACTCATCGATCTGCATCGAAATATTAACGCGACCCTGACTTCTTGCCGCATTCTTCGCTCCGGTGTGTGTCGTCCAGTGGTCGTCGCGAACGTCGTTGCGTTCAACGCCATCACTAACAGCTCTCTAGTCTTGTCCCACACTCTCGTGTTGGGCGGCAGATGGTGCTCCTTGTGCTGCTTTTCCTTGCGTTTGTGTCTGTGTTTGTTGCACTCGTGCAAGGTCGTTTTGCAGCTACGTGCGTTCTGCCATTAGCGCCGTAATTTGTTCACTGCTTTCACGCAGTTGGCG